ACATTCGTCCAAGAAAGTAGTAGTGCTTCAGGTAGTCCTCCCCCAGGGCACTGGCGTTCGGATTAGGATAGAGAGTGTTGTCATCGGTGTAGAGGAAGTAGCCACGAGTGGGGTTGAAGCCCGACTGGATGACCTCAGTGAGGAATTCACGCGAGAGGCCACCGCCATCAAAACCCATCTCCTCTACGTTGGCCTGGTTGAAGAAGACCACATTCAGACGAGGTCGCAGGGAGGGAGCTGGAGGAGGAAAGGGGGGGATGAAAGCGTAAAATTAGTCAAATCCACTATAACCTACTATTGCTGGCACTATCGGACACAGGGCTCAACGTCACTCACCATTTTCCTTTGACAGGTTCTCGAAGGCATCTTCGTAAAGGTAGTCCCGTCGTACACGAACTCGCACAGGTTGCATGTGATCGGCAGGTTCACTAAGGGCCTGCATGAAGTCAAGGGAAGGTACGCGGGTGCTCTGAATAGACTGCCGGTGAGCACGGACAACGGCTTGGAAGATCTAAAGGCAGTGGAGAGGACGGACAGGTTATCATTAGTGTTGATCCTCGACGCAAGATGCGAAGACAGCGCTGTTGTGAGGTGGAGAAAAGAGAGAGAGTAACCAACCTGTACACGCCGCCAAAAGGAGATTACGAAGGGCATTTCAATCAGAGTAGTCATCTGTCGCCAGTCACGGAAAGACATATCGGTTGAGGCGTCGTCATCTGCATAGAAAGAGAACAAAGAACTACGGAGTCATCACAGACCATTCTGTGGGCCGAAACACTTGATATAAACGCATGAATTCCGTAGAGGATTGGCACATTTCAAAAATTTAGTAAGTTGTCTTCACAATCAATCGGAAAAAGGGAAAGAGCGGGGCTGCACAAATGAGGTGATCGGTAGCCTCTTCTCTCGGTAAGGTAATAACATAAACAACGCATACATATTGAAGATAAAACGATCCCACTACAAGCCTCTCCTCGTCTAAGGGGGACAGATATAGCCAGAAATAACTCCCCTACATAGACTTATCAACAACGCTCATTAGGTGAAAATACGGGTCCTAGGAAGTAATTGATAAGAGGTAGGAGCGATTGCTAGGACAAAAATCTTATTTACCCGAAGCTTCGGGTTCTTGATTGGACCCATCATCAGATACGGATAATTCGTACACAGCCACGACAAGAAGCGTGCAGACTCGTTTATGGAGCCTGGAATAATTGCGAACAGAGCAACTACTTCGTAGAAGGGCGGAGAGTGCTCCGACAGTGAATGGCCGGACACGCGGCAGCCGTCCGGAGAAATGACGCCAAGTCGCGGCTCATTCGACGAGACCCGGTCATACATTCAAGGTAGATGAGGTCTAAAATTCTCGTAAGAGGTGACAGTCGTTGAGCAGCGAGCTGCTTAGGTCATGAATCACGGGTCTCCTGTCTATAAACAAGTGCAATGACCTGTCAAAGCAATACTGGGTGGTTAGGCTCAGTTTGGCCAAAGCAATTCGCCATTCGGGAGGCGCACAGGCGGATGCCAGTGTAGGTGAGCCAGCTGGAACAATAATCACGGCCGTACGTCAGAAGCGGTCGGCCGACTGTTCACCCCCCACTTGGAGACGGAGTTGCGCACAGACCAGAAGCAACCA